CCCCCCCCCCCCCCCCCCCGAATATGGTCATTGCGATCTTGGTACTCCAGGAAGATCAGAAAAAGCAAATCAAGCCATAGAAACCCCGAGTCTTTGGATTCGATCAGTTGGCAACAGAGACCCCTAATCCGTTTTGATTTTGACAGAAAAGCCTAGATCCTAGACACCCAACACACAGAGTGGGAACGGTTTGACTATCTTTCAAGACATCCATCGGGGCTTAAGCTTTCGGCGACAGATTTCAGGATGAGTTTCATGGCTTTGGTTTGGGGTATCGGAGTGGGCCCTTCGTGCATGGCTAATATAGGGGCCTTAACAAAACGAATAGGGTTTTGGTGTACATTAGAAATACGACAATTACAATGCGGAGTTAAAATAGTATTGGCAGTCAATGGTCATTGCACACACACCCACACTCTCAACAGAGTGACAACACGGACATAGAAAGCCAGATAGACCAATGCAGCCGAGTTTTCAGCTGAGCTTTAAGGCTTTGAATCTTCTGACACCCTAAGCCCAACAACCACTTTTAGTTTCGGGCCTACCTCTAGCCAGGACCCTGGTGCACTCTCTTACAGCCAAGGAGCGTCTCACACAGTCAGCTAGGGTCGATGACTCCTGCAAAATAACTGACGCAAAGGCAACAGTTGAGCGTGACTCTGGCCGTGATTGGGTATTGTAGGATTTCTCAGGTTTTCTTCGCATAGCACTCAGGGGTGTATGAAAGGATCTTGTTAAGGGCTGCGTTAAAAGGTTTAGGGTGCGGGGCTTGCGGATTTTGGGTGCGTACTCAGATCCTCTACATACCTGAAGGTAGGATACAGTATCGCTTAGCCATATTCCAGGACCCCCATAGTACCATTAAAGGAATATGCCTGAAAACTGCATATTTGAAGATCGACATTGCTCAACCAGACAACAATTCCAAAATAACCCAAAGCCCTTGCCAAGCACGGAATAATCCTAAACCCCTACGACCTAAATCATGAACCTGCCGCCTGAAACCCTAACCCCAAATTCATGACCGCCGCACCCTAACTCGAGGAGGGTTGACACCACCACCACCACCACCAATGACAACAAGAACACCAACAACAGCAGCAACAGCAACAGCAGCAGCAGCAGCAGCAGCCGAAGCAGGCACCACCACCACGACCACAACCACCACGAGCAAGAAGAAGAACAACAGAAACAGCAGCAAAAGCAACAGCAACGGCAACAGCAACATCACTAGCACCAGCACCGGCACCGGCACCGGCACCAGCACCAGCACAAGCACCACCCCGAACACAACAAACAACAACGACGACGACAACAGCAGCAAAAACAACAGCATCAGCAACAGCAACAACGGCAGCAGCAGCAGCAGCAGCAGCAGCAGCAGCAGCAGCAGCAGCAGCAGCAGCAGCAGAACAGCGACAGCACCAGCAACAGCAACAGCAGCAGCAACAGCAGGGGCAACAACAGCAAGGCCACACGACACTGACAACCATAACTACACAACCCAAAGCAAGCAACCAACCCTGCAAGCAAACAATCACACACGTAAACACGAATACTAACAGACAAACACACGAACATGCGCGCACACACACACACAAACAAACAACAACGACAACACAACACACAAAAAACCAACCAGCCAACCAGCCAACCAGCCAACCAGCCAGCCAGCCAGCCAGCCAACGAGCCAGCCAGCCAGCCAGACAGACAAACAACCAAACAACCAAACAACCAACAACCAACAACAGCGCAACACTAACAATACTGCTGTTACTAATAACAAAAATCATGCTCACAATTACTAATCTCGTCACTGCCATTATAACAAATAATTACGGCGATAAAACTAGTAATAACAGTATCAAGAGCCAGGAAGACCAACAAATGCAAGGCCAGCAACATCGACGGCAACAGCCGCCAGAGTCACGTGCTCGGTACAAAAGCTCCTAAACCCCAAACCCCTATAAGCCGTAAACCCTAAACAACCCAAATCCACAAAACCCCTAAACTCTTAAAGCTCCTAAACCCCAAACCCCTATAAGCCGTAAACCCTAAACAACCCAAATCCACAAAACCCCTAAACTCTTAAAGCTCCTAAACCCTAAACCCTGCAGCTGCAACCTGATTCCTGATACCGCGCAGAAGCAAGCAGCGAAAATGAGTGAGAGACGCCCTCTCTGCCTGGCTGCCCACGGAGTTGCTGCGCTTGAAGACCGTGAAGAACTGGTCCTTCACCTCCTGCATGTTAAGCGCACATAGAGTTGGGGTTTAGGGCTCCGTTGCGGGATCTAAAGTGGTAATTCTCAGGGTTACTACAAGGGTACGAGTGGAGGAGCACATCGGAACTTGCGCTACAGAATTAGCCACCTTGTCTGGATAACCTAATCTAAAGTCAGGATAGTGTAGTATAAGAAATTGCAGAACGCAACATGACTAAGATGGGGGCCTTAATGAATAGGGGCCTTAATGAATAGAATAGGGGTATATTATAGTATAAGTAAAAGGGAAAAGGAACCCACCCACCGCAAAAAAAAAACAAAAAATATCTACTGGTAGTTATTTAGGCCCCTATATTGCACTTCAAGGTCTAGGAAAAGGTCAAGATCCTAGAGGGTCGACGGTTTTGGGTCCCACTGCAGCAAAGATCAACAACAACGCCAAAACCTGAATCCTACAGCCTTTCGTATCCTAAAAATATTCAGCTCTACCACAAAGCCTCGACCGGTAGAGACCCCTTCAAGCTGATCAAGGTTCTTCGAACCCCAGAGCACGACTCTACTCTAGAGCCAACCCTACAAACATTGAACCCTGAAGACCTTTCAGCGGTGGGTTGTCCAGGACCTCTCTCTCATGCTATGGTTGTCGCTCAGACTGGGTTTGGGGTTTGCAGCTTTGGCGACTCTGTACATCGAGTTACTATACGGGGGCCGTTGCAATCGGAATAGCGGTTGAATGCTAAAATGGTCACTGTAGTCATTGTCATTGTAGTTAATTAAAGGACTATAGGGCTTCGGGTTTAGGGTTTAGGGCAGCAGGAGGAGCAGGAGGAGCCAGAGCAGCAGGAGGAGCAGGAGGAGGAGGAGTATAGGGTGTGGACGTACATGCAACTGCAACTCTCTCAGCCGCGTAGGCTTACCTTTTAGGGCTCTATGTCAACAGTAGCTGAATTGGCCAACATCTCGCAGGAATAGTTCCATGAATTGAAGCTACTAACGCCTATACCCCCCACATGCCGTAACCTCCACGCAACTTCATATTCATCATCCGAAACCCGCTACACCGTAAGCCGTCATCGGTCTGGGAATCCCTGAATACCCTCGAGTACGTCTGCACGCCAATAAGCCCGAAACTCTGAACTCAAGAAACAGGGACACGTGCGTCCTGGTTTTTGGCGTCCTGGTGGCGCAACACTGCTGGAACAGCGGGAGTCGATTGTCGACTGTGGAGTGAGTTCAGGCCTTCGGGTACCATCACAGTTGAAGATCAGACTACTACAAATATCGCAAAACCCTGATCAAAGAATTTACCTTCTGCAAGGGCAAGCATGGTAGGACTGTATGAAACTGTCGCACAAATCCTAAACCCTAAACCCTCCCTTGGGGCTCCCAAAACTATAGGGTGCCGTGCCGAAACCCTAAACCCTAAACTCCAAAACCCCAAGCGTAGACGCATCGCCGTCGCATATAGACCCTAAGCACCAAGACCCCCAAGCTAGTGGCTCCGGGCTCCCAATTTAGGATTTTCTTCGGAAGCCATTTCCGGATGCGCTGCTTGCCTTATAGCTTAAACCCCGAAGCCCCCTCTCTCACACACACACACACACGCCCAAAGCCGCAAGCAAATCCGAACGTAATACCTTGAGCCCTCAACGCCCAAAGCTCTAAACCTCTCAACCTTGAAAACCCATGAAGCCTTGAATCCTAAACCCTAAACCCCAGAACCCTAAAGCAACCCGCTCAGTAGAACCCTTCGATACCCCTGAGCCCCTGTATGCTTCGGCTGTAAACCCTATACTCTATCCTAAACCCGACACCTAAACCCGATACCCTGAGCCCGAAAGGCCTCGAGGGCTGTCGCTTCCCCGTCCGAGGCTTCCTCCTCCTCCTCTTCTTGCTCGAGGCCTGGGATTCAAAGCTATGGTTTAGGGTTCGGGTTTAGGGTAAACCAATTTAAGCTGTAGCCTCTTTTGGCTTCCTATGAGCCTGGGCCGGCACGGAGTGCTTGGGCACTTAGGCCCTAAGCAAGGTCTGCGGTTTAGGGGGTGTGAGATTTTGTTGGGGCTTACTTAGGCGCCCTTCGAACCATAATGAACACAACGGTTTCACTAATTCCTTGAGCGCAATTATCATACAATGAAGGGCAATTTTCAAGAGCACTAACAAGGACATTAGTAAGGAAATCATTAGAAAGGAACCCTAAAAGGCTAGGCTTTTCTAGATTTAGGTACCTCATATGGAACCCTTATAGACTCCGTAAAGGAACCCTAAAAAGAACCTTCATCGACCCCTGAACAAAGCCTTAAAAGGCACCCCAAACAAAAACAGATTCTCCAGCTTCCAGGCTCCTCTGGGCTTAGTTCTGGGGCTGATGGTCTAAGATTTAATTTAGGGTGCTCAGGGTTTAAGACTTAAGGGCTTTGGGTTGAGGATTCAGGGTTGAGGGGCTTTGGGTTGAGTTGAAGGTTTGACGGCTTTGGGTTTTCGGTTCATGGCTTCGGGTTTGGGGCTCGCGGCTTAGGATGGCTTTGGCTTTTGGGTTTAGGGCCTTTTTTTCCGGATTTAAGCTTTGAGGCTTCCCGAAGCCTGTCACCCAGAACCCCCGAATCGAACCCCACCCCAATACTTACAGGCCTAGTATATATATATATACATATATATATATATATATACATATCTATATATGGGTGTGTGTGTGTGTGTGCGTGTTTGCATAAACAGAGACTTTCATGTTCCTGCACCAAAACCTGTCGAAGCACCTAAAGCCTCAAGCACCACATTGTGGTCCGAGGCGTAAGATTTTGGCTACTCTCGAGCATAGCAAGACCCTGGCACTTTTCATGACTTTTTTTTAATATTGCAACAGTAGTGAAAACAGTATGCACAGTTTTATATACGTATTGGCCGATCTATCTATCTGTCAACCCAAAAGATCAACGGGTAGCCTGACCGACAATGGCATGCGAGTATACCGCCTCGTTGCGTACAGTAAGATATCCCCCGGTGTCTCCAAAGCGATGCTTGAATCTACAACGAACCCAAAGCATTAAACCCCTTCTGGAGGCATGCGGGCTGGCTTGCACAGGCATACTCATTGACCATAGGAGCCGGAAGAATGAAAAGTCGAATCAATCGACTGGGATTCAGTCGTCTCTACTATATTTCGAGTCTGTGTTAGGGAGTTCTAAGGCATACTAGACCAATTATGACGCATTACTCGAACGTGGGCTTGCCTGACTGCAGGTTGCGAAATCATGGGCTCGGGCGCCAGGTTTAGTGCCCGGGTGACAGAACAGAAGCTTGGAGTGGCTCCAGACATCCAACATGTAGATCTTAGGGCCTACATCCCAACCGTAGCTTAAACACCTGAACACACCTTAAAGTAGGTGTAGGCCCAACTCCAAAACTTCAAAGACCAACTCCCTGAGGGTCGTTGCCGATGCCAAGTATTCAAGGTCTATCAATAGCGATGTTGATATTCAGCTTCATTTGGATACGTGTGCAAAGCCCATTTCTCTTCCGCATGCCCAAGAACCGGCTGCTGCCAAAACACTCCGACTCTCTCCCACGCAAGTCTCATCCAAGCTGTCTGCCTCTGATGTTTTGGCGATGCTCGCATGTGTGATAACCGAAGTACAGAAGGAGAATCCTGGTTTGATGGTGGGCATGGCGGCACGAGCTATAGGAGATGATGGCTGCTGCTGATGACGACGACCCGAACGGGGGTGATGAACGTGCTTATGACAGATATGATGACGATCGGGATGGTGATGCTGAGGCAAGGAGTGTGGGGATGACAACCGATAGTGGTGGTTCCACCATGGTGATGGTGCTGGGCTGTCGCCGCTGCCGCGGCTGCTGCTGTTGTCGCACATTGTGGTGACTGTGTTAACGACTATGACGATGGCGACGACGACGATGACCATGATGATGATAATGCTGATGGCGTGACGCAGAAGATGGCGACCATGTTGGTGGCGGTCCTGCTGTTCGCGGTGCTGGACTTGTTGCACTCATGCTTGAAGCCATGCAACAGTACTAAGTGGAGCCAATCAAGGCCAGATCCTCCAAAACACACAGCATTCCCCACGGGTTCCTTATTGACCCCCAAACCTTGTTCAATTTATGAAGGCCCAACCTAAAGCCCTGCACACTAAGAATCAAAGCCACGGACATGAACAATGAAACTCATGGACCTTGATCGGGCCTGAACCCCTAAACATTGAGTCCTTCATACCTCCATCCCTAAACTCTAGATGTCTCGGGGCTCAACCCCCCCCCCCCCCCCCC